AGGCGCTCGTGCTCTCGGACCGCGAGCCCTTCGCCGCCCCCTCGCCCTTCTCTGAGCTCATCTTGCCGCCGAACAACGCGCAGCAATAAAGCCGAGGGGCAGCAATAAAGCCGAGGGGCAGCAATAAAGCCGAGCGCAGCAATAAAGCAGAGGGGCAGCAATAAAGCCGGGGGCAGCAATAAAGCCGAGCGCAGCAATAAAGCCGTGGGGCAGCAATAAAGCCGAGGGGCAGCAATAAAGCCGAGCGCAGCAAAGCCGTGTCTGCCCCTGATTCGCTCGCGGGCAGGGGCGGGACTCCCGAAGCACCGCCCCGTTTAGCACGTGACCTTTGGTGCCCCCCCCACCTCCTGCGCGCACTTCCGGCTGCCATCCGGACGCGCGTGCGCGACGCGTGCGCACTGGAGTCCAGCGTGGCGACTCGGCAGAGGGCCGCCAGCCTCGGGCCCTGAGAGCGGGGCGGGGCGTCCGACATCCCAGCGTGAATCCCCCGAGGTGCGACCCCGGGAAGACTCTGGGTGCGAGGTTCGGAGGGGCGGGAGGGCAGGCGCCTGGGGTGTGCTCGGCGCGTGGCCTGCAGCAGGGTCCAGCTTTGCGCGTGCGTGCAGGGCGCCTGGAGGCTCAGGGAGTCTCCGCAGGGGCCGCCGCGGGTCAGGCCCGTCTAGTGCAGCGCTCAGAGCCCATTTGGTACAGGAGGCGGGTACAGAGGCAAAGGGACGCGCCCAAGGTCACCCAGCCCGGAGCCCAAGCCCAGGAATCGAGGGAGGAAGGTGGAAGCCAAGCGGTTAGTCCTCGGAGGCCCCTCAGCAGCAGCTGAGCAGGTGAGGGGGTCCTCAGACCCCCGCCGACACCCCTCCAGGAGCCCCTGTAGAAAGGCTCGGCCACCGGAGTTGTCGGAAACCCGGACGTGAAGCTGAAGCGGGTGCGACTGTGGCAGGTGGAAACCTTTTCTCCAAGCGGGTGGGCAAGCCAGTGAGTGGCCCAGGTTCTGCTGTAGGTGGGGAAGGGGCGGTCTGCCGAGTCTGCCTTTGAGGGTTGAAGCCGGACTCACCGGCCTCCTTTCTGAAAGGGGGGCTCATTGCAAACGGATACACGTGCTCAGGAACCCAGGCAGCCGTGCACTCGAGTGATCTCAGGCGGCTCCGATGCTGAAACACAGGTGAGTGCTGCCCTGTCTGGAGCTGCGGGGCCGGGGCCAGGGCCAGGGAGGGAGGAGGCAGAATGAGGCACTCGCCTGAAGGACAGCAGTGACAGGCTGGACTTCTGATGACACCTAAGCTTGGAGCTTCTGCCTTCAGAGGCGAGACGGTTCTGAGCTCAGTGGAGCACTGGGTGGCCATTTGGGACAGCTTGGTCCTCCAGGTGGAGACCCATTTCCCCAGTGATGGGAGGTGACCCAGGAGGCCAAGGCACCTTCCGGCTCCTGACATGTTTGCCCTCTTCCAGGAGCATCAGGCCTGTGCTGCTGCTGGCTCAGCTGCCCAAGGCTCAGCACGGGCTCTCTCAGCTCAAGGCCTCCACCCTCCTGAAGACTCCTGGAGGCGAGGCCCTCCATGTGAGGTGCCGGCTCTTGTCAAGGCAGGGCCCTGCAGAGACAGGCAGGCAGGGCCAGCCCCGGGGCCCTGGGCTGCGAACTAGGCTGCTGGTCACAGCCTTATTTGGGGCGGGGCTGGGTGGGGCCTGGCTGGCCATGAGGGCTGAGAAGGAGCGGCAGCAGCAGCAGCGGCGGACAGAGGCCCTGCGCCAGGCCTCCGTGGGCCAGGGAGACTTTAGCCTGCTGGACCACCAGGGCCAGGCTCGCTGCAAAGCCGACTTCCGAGGCCAGTGGGTGCTGTTGTACTTTGGCTTCACTCACTGTCCCGACATCTGCCCTGACGAACTGGAGAAGCTGGTGCGGGTGGTGCGGCAGCTGGAGGCCCAGCCCGGCCTGCCCCCGGTGCAGCCCGTCTTCATCACTGTGGACCCCGCGCGGGACGATGTTGCTGCCATGGCCCGCTACGTGCAGGACTTCCACCCGCGGCTGCTGGGCCTGACTGGCTCGGCGGAGCAGGTTGCCCAGGTCAGCCGCAGCTACCGTGTGTACTACAGTGCCGGCCCCAAGGACGCGGACCAGGACTACATCGTGGACCACTCCATCGCCATCTACCTGCTCAACCCCGACGGCCTCTTCACAGACTACTATGGCCGGGCCAGGTCGGCCGAGCAGATTGCAGACAGTGTGCGGCGCCACATGGCTGCCTTCCGCAGCGTCCTGCACTGACCTGGGTCATTAAAGGGTGTGGTGGAGCTGCATGTGTGTCTGAGCCGTACCAGCTGCCCTGGGAGGCCACGGAGCAGAGGAGCCCAGCACCTGGCTGTGGGCTGGGTGCTGGAGATGGGCAGCTATCTTCTCTACAAGGAGCCTTGTAAAGGGATGGGTGGGGTGGCAACACCACTTTATTAGGCTGGGCCAGCCAGGAAGCAAGTGTGAAGTGAGCAGATGTGGGCCCAACATCATGGGGGACAGGGCTGCCCACTCAGGGCTGAGCCATGGAGGGGGCGGTGTAGGTCTGGAAGTGCTTGTGGGCCCGCTGGTGTGTGAGCAGTCTTAGGGACATGGTGTCCACAGCCGCCTCCAGCCCTGGCTGCTGGGTGATCTCTACCGTGTGGTCATTGGCCTGTAAGGACAGGGTGTCAGCAGAGCCAGGGACCACTCCCCTCCCAGGCCCAGGGCCACTCACCAGTTGCAGAGAGGCCAGCATGGCGCGGCACACCTCGAAGGCAGGCTGGCCCGACACCAGCTTCGCAAAGGGACACCACTGGTTGAGCTGACTGAACTTTGAGACCATCTGGTCCCCATACAGGTGGATGTCAAAGGGCACGTGCTGCTCCTGCAAGAGGGAAGAGCAAGGTCCTGGTCAAACCCTGCAAGCATCGGGCTCCATGCCCGAGCAGAAGCCGGCCCAGCCCCCTTACCTGCTCCTGGAGCAGGGGCTGGATGCTGTCCTCCCAGTCCCTGACACGCTGGCTCAGCTCCGTCTCCTGGACGAACTTCTGAGACGTGGTGATGAAGAGCTCCTAGGAGATGACGGGAGCTGCTGCCTCTGCCAGAGCCACCACCCAGCTCCCCTCCCCTCCGACCAGGGCCTACCACGTTCCTCCGGACCAGCTCCTCGTAGCTCAGGGATGCCGGCATGGCCTCTGCTTCTGGAAAGGAGGGCAGCGGGAGGAGTGGGCCACACCCTCCCTCCCTTCATCCTTGAGTAGCACCCTCATGAGGGCCTGGCCAGCAGCCCTCCTAGACCTACCCAGGTCTGCAGCGTCCTCAGGCTTTGCCCCGTCAGGCTCTGCGTATTCTTCGGGCTCTAGAAAGTCATCTGCTGGGAGGTGGGGTGGAACCAGCAGGAGGCAGGTCAGCAGGCAGCCTGTCCTGAGCCCTCTTCCTCCCGCCACCCTGTGAGCACCCACCTGCTGCCCCCAGCTCCTCCAGGGAGTCCTCCAGGCGGTCCTCCTCCACAGGCCACAGCTCCTCCTCGGCCCTCGGCAGCCACCGCTTAGCTGCCTGTGCAGAGAACCTGTGAGCCACTGCTGTCTCCCACCACCCGGGGCGGTGAGGCCAGTGGCCAGTACTTGCCTCCCTCCTCTGCAGTTTCCGGAGGGTCTCCAGCTGCTCCCTCACGTGTTTCCAGTACAGAACCTCCATGTCTGCACACAAAAGCCTCGTGAGGGGGTGCCCGCATCCTGCCTAGACCACCCTGGTCCACCTAGGGCCTTGGGCATCCCCAGGCGGAGGGGAGGAGGGCAGAGCAAGGTGCCATTATCCCTCAGAGGAGCACACAGGGCCCCAGTCACACCTGCAAAGGACGGGCCCTTTTTCCGGAGCCTTCTGCTGTCAGCATGGTCAGCATCTGCAAGAGAACTGGGTTGTCAGGAGCCAGACCAAGTCCCTTCCTGCCCCTCCTGCACTGGCCTGGCCCAGTCCCACACACCCACTCACAGGTGGCCAGGTACCACTGGTGGAAGTCCTGCAGCTTGGCGGCCCCCTTCCTCTTGCGCTTCTGTCCCGGAACCTCCTCCACGCAGGCGGGCACGGAGTAGGGTTTACCTGGGGGGCAAATGGACTGTGTCTCGGGGCACCACTGCAGGCCCCGGGGAAGATCACCAGCACCCCTGAGAGCCATCACACGAGGGAGCACAGCCCCCCAGGCTCTCCATGGGTACAGGGCACACCCCACCCACCACCTGTACCCCCATGAACCCAGCCACAGACACTGGGTACAGCTGTCCCTCCACCCAATTACCTTTCTTGAAGGGCTTAGAGTCCAGGGAGCTGAAGGGGTCCAGGCTCTGCCAGGGGTCTGGGGTCTCCTAAGCACGGAGAACAAGTACTCAGGGAGAGTGGGGGACACACACCCTTCCCCCAAGGCCAGCACTGAGGGCAATGACGGCCAGGGGGCACTGGCCACGCGGAATCCAGGATCCAAGGGTGGAAGGGCCTCGGTCAGGTGGGAGTGAAGACGTGGGTGGTGGGGCCTCAGGCACACACCCTCCCTGCCAGTGGGTCGGGTCGGGGCCCCACCACCTCACCTTCAGCTGGGACACAGGCTCCAGGGCCTCCCGCCTCTCCCTCAGCTCAAACCTCCTGGGCTGGGCAGTGCTCTGCAAAGAAATGGCCTCAGGGATGTCCCCTCCTTTGCTCTGGGGGCAAATACTCTCCAGGAACCAGAGTATTTGAGCAGGAATTTCAAATAGTTCAAGGGCTAAAAGTAACACTGCTAGGAAAACTCCAGAGAACACAAACTAGTGAGCTAGTGGTCACGGGGAAAAACAAAACAGTAACATGGTAATATCCACGGAGCTACCAGCCAAGATGAACACTAACATGCTTCCTGTGTAAAGTTCGCGTCGTAAGAGGAAAAAAGGACGTCTTCACTCTAGGGCCGGAGCACAGAGCCCACCCTTCGGGGCTGAGGGGACGGCAAAGGCCTCCGAGGTCCCCCTTCCTGCCAGCCTGCCCTCGGGAGGCAGCTCCAGAGACCAGCTGCCATCTGTGGCTACAGGGCACCACAGGCTCAGCCAGCCCTGAGGAGCAGCAGCTGCTCTGCAGGGAGAGGGAAGGGACAAGGAAGCCGCTGCCCAAGAGCTGGCTTAGGACACGTGGGGCTGCCCAAAACCCAGGGCTTGCCCGATGGACGACTCCAGCTTTGCAGGCCTCAGTGTGTGCCCCACCTGCTGTGGGCTCCTGGACTCCTGGGGCTCCAGGGGGACCTCAGGGAGCTCTGCCACCCCCTCTGCATCCTCATCCTCATCCCCACCTGCGGGCATCGGGCCTTCTGGAGACGTGCCTGGGCAGAGGAGCAAGAGACCCGTCAACCCCGAGGAGCCCGAAGACCAGACAGCAGGTGAGGGCTGCCCCTCTGGGCCTGAGCGGCCCTCCCCCTCTCGGCTTCTTCATTCATTAGACCCAGAGACTGGAGCACGGTGTCTCACACTCTCGATGCGCTGCTGTGCCGTTTGTTTCATTCTACTTCTAAGCTACTTTCCTCTCTAAATGCTGCCTCTGTGCCTGCCCAGAGGAATGGGCACACAGGGCAGCGGGCTGAGTGGGGAACGAGGCCTGGGCACACAAGCAGCTCCAAGGCCTCACGGCTCCCATGTCCCCCAGCACAGGCAGAGAGGGGTGGGCATAGAGTCCTGTCCCCACCCCCACTAGTCGGTCCACCAGGATGACCTCTTCTCACCTGACTCCTGGGAGATGCCGGGCACAGGGACCGGACTCCTGATCATAGAGACTTCCATTGGCTGCTCCTCAGCGCATCCAGCTGAGAGAGATGGCGTGAGACAGGTCAGCCCAGCCCTCGCCTCCCCCCAACTCTCCCAGGGACCCAAGAGCCAGGGCTGGGGAGGGAGAGCAGGGCCCTGCACTGAGCAGCTGTGGGCAGACGGGGCAGCGGAGGGACCAGCTCCAGCCGGCCTGTGGGGCAGGTGCCTGGGAGGGAGGGTACCCAGTAAGGAGCCCAGACCCACACCCGCGCCCTCACCCGTCCTGGGCAGCAGAGTCTCCCTGGGGGACAAGCCCACTGGCTCCAACATGAAGGCTCCTCGGGGGTGAGGGGTGCACGTGTTCATCCTAAAATCCTTCCGACTGGCCAGGACCTCCCCCTGACAGCTGTGCTGGCAAAAACACAGCCTCTGCAGAGACCATCCCCAGCAGCCGCCCTCCCCCACCAGGCCCAGGCCGAGGCCCAAACCTGTACAAGGGGTGGCTGTTCTTGTCCATCTCATCCAGGGCTACCAGGGCCATGGGCAGGAGGGGGACGATGGCGACCTCCTGCACAGGGGCCGAGAGTGGGTGAGCGTGGGAACGAGAAGGGATGCCCACACTGTACCAGCAGCCCATCAGCTACGCTCACCCCACCTACGGGGGAGGGCACTCACACAGGGGGCCTGCTCATTCCTCAGGTCCACATTAGCACGGGTGTCGGGCAGGTCATCCAGCGACAGGAACTGTGAGGAGACAGTGAGCTCAGCAGCAGCACCCAGCAGGCACCCAGCGGGCAGCAGCCAGGCACCCAGGAAACCTCACCTCATCCTCCACCCGCTGGGAGGCCCTGGAGCTGGCGTCCCTGCTGGCCCCGTCTTCCTGCGCCGCGAGCTGCCTGGCCCTCCTGGGAGAGAATCAACGCATGGGAGTTCGGAGGCTGCAGGGGCTTCCCCAGCCACACGCAGGGCACACGGGCCTCCACCTCCTGGCTAGCGCCTCCAGGACTCACCTCTTGCCAGAGATGAAATCGAGGGCCTGGTAGACCAGTGAGTAGAGGTATTCAACCTGGAGGCCGGAAGCAGGAGGTGAGGACGCAGACAGGAGCCCACCCACGATACCCAGGGCAGACATCCGTGCACAGAGAAGCCGGCTGTCCCCTCCCAAACCTCCGGCACAAGCCCTGCCAGTGTGGCCATCAAGAGCACTTCTCCAGTTGAACAGAATTGCTCTGACAGCTGAGCCCCCCTCCCCCACTCTCAAGGCTGTGCCTCCCGCCATGCGCCTCTGTGCACACCTGCCTGCGGGCGGTCCATGCCCTCCCGTGGCCTCAGCCCACCTCCCACCTCCCACCTCCCCTCCCGCCTCCACCAACCCCAGTCTCTGGCACCTGACACCACTCCAGCCACAACCCAGGGGGCCCCACCCTTAGGGTGAGGGTGGGGATTTGGAGATGCTGACCACAACGCACCACCAGGGGGCGCGCCTGCTGCCTCTGGGCCAGTGGTCGGCAAACTGCGGCTCGGCTCGCGAGCCACATGCGGCTCTTT